TCATCACATTAAGAGATTTCTGCAAAGAAACAGCCCCAAAAGTTGTTCCAGTATGTTGACAGCCTCATACCTTGTCAAGACTCTGCTGTGACTTCAGAGTAAACTCAATTCAAGCCAGGGCATCAAAGACAAGAACCAGTTAAGGCCTTTACCGTGAGTGGCAGTACACATAATTTCCTTGAAGAAACTTACATGTAGTGAAAAGTAGGTGCTCTTCTGAAGTACTTGGGTGCTTCTTCTCCCATTGTCTGCCAGGCATCACTAGGTAAAAAACCACCTGTAACATCCTCAGAGTCATCAGTTTCTTGTACTTCTGTGCGATTTATACCCATGAAAGTAAGCTACAAAAGAAAAAAAGCTGCAATAAAAACTCACTTAGAGGTAAACCAGTAGATACACTCATGGTGAAACACTGTGTTGTGGTGTTTGCATGATAAATTAGTACTTAATACCACTGCCTAAGAACTTTGACTTTCCTGAGGATACCATGAAAACAGATGAACACTCAAATTCACCCTTGTGTTCAGCAAGAAATGAAAGCCATAGGTAAACAAACTGCTTAGATTCCAACACATTTCAGTGATGTATTAAGTAGCAGAACACTCCTTATACTGCAGTTTAGAGCTCAGATATCTCACAGATTTTGAACACCACACACTTGCTGAAAGCCCAGCCCCTCAAATAGCAAAAACTTATCTGGCCTATCCCTGTCAACACTAACCCAGAAAAAATTTTAAATTGAACTTTATGTTTTTTATAGACTTAAGCAAACAAGTCAGGATTCCTTGTTGATCTGCTGTAACATTAGGGAACATCTTCAAAGAGCAAAAAAGCCAACAGCCTGCTTAAAAGCTGTTCTGATCTGACTCTTCCCTCAAGTCACAGTACAAAGAGACAAACTGGCCAGTCTGAAAGCATTCAAGTGTCCCAAAGTTCCATTTCATGTGAGTGACACGTGGCCTCAACAAATCTATCAACCAATATATAAACCAGTGGACAGGATAAAGAAACTACTTAGCTACTGAGAAAATACAGAAGAGTGACTGAAAAAAGAGCAGAAGACTAAGAGCACAAACTGAACCATGGTAAAGCAGCAGCAGCACAATAATAAGGGAAGTGTCTGCACTTTAAGTCAGATTTTCCCCTATTGCAAGTGCTTAATATGTAGTTTAAGACAATTAACAAAAGTAACTAGAAAGTTTATCAAAGAAATTCATAGGAAGAGCATTAAATTCCACCAGAACTGCCATGTGCTGCCTGACAATCTGAGGCTTTATGGTTCTGTAACAAACAGGGCAAACCTCCAGCAGACATGCTGGCGGATGCAGAGCCTGGAACTTACCAAGTCTTCTGCAAATGCTGTTGAATCAAATGCTGACATCTCAGAGTGTAACTCATTGGCTTTCTCCTTTCCTATATTGGATGCTATAACAAGAAACTGGGCATCCAGTGCAGCTTCTCGTGCACGGCAAACTGTTACAGAAAAGATGTTACGGTGATTACTATGAAATTGTCACAAATATAATTATCACATTCAGCATAGGGACTATCCTGGCTTTAGTGCTTTGGAAATCCTTTCATTGCCTTCTTTACCTCTAACACACTTACATAATCCTTATAATGAATTTGCATTTAAGAAAAGGAAAGAATGACAAACTGTGGAAGACTAACACTCGATCTTGAACAACAAATGCATTTTTTATCACCGTGTTTTCCAACTTTTCCAAGAGAAATGAACCCCTCTTCACTGATATTTTTTATGTGCATTACTGATATACATTGTTCCAGTGAACCAAAATAAATCAAGGAATTATTTCAAAGAGCAAATAAACTATAATGACATTTATTTTCTCACATCAACTTACTCAACCAATCTTCAACTTAACATATCTACTTTAAGTTATATAAAAATTCTGATTAATACTTGGACCTCAACTTCACTCTTGTTCTCTTTTGTTTGTAAGGCATCATCTCCTCACACTTGGCCAAACACATCAATTAAAGACCACAGAATTTGTTTTACCTCCATCAAAAAGTCTATTGGCCTCTTCCAAAGCTTCTGTCAGCCTGTTGCTTTTGGAACTCAGTATATTTTCTCGATTTTCTGTGGGGAAAGACACAAAGGAAATCCTGAATTACTTAAACATAGAAGCACTGAGAAACACTGCACTTGTTTGATGCTGACTGGAAGCCAAAGCTCCATCACTCCTCTCCTCAACTGGGCCAAAGAGAGATAATAGAACAAAAAGCTCATGGGTCTAGATAAGGGAGAGATCACTCACCAATTTCCATGAAAGAAACAAACCAGCCCCTAAAACTGTATGCTTACTCCCTTCTATAAACAGGCTGG